GTCTCCGCCACCACCACGTAGCTGGGCCCTGGCGGTGCCACATAGCCCAGGAATGAGTCCCAGCGTGCCGGGCTGGCTCTGCCCACGGCCACGTGCCAACCCCGGTTTCACACGTATAATCTAAAGAATCAGCTTTAGAAAGCATGTTGTAACTTGATATATCCAAAGAAATGCCTGCTTAAAATAAATACCATGTAATTCAGCCACCCGTCTGGGAACAAAAAACTGCAGAACTATACAAAGTTAGCGATATCCTCTGTCTTCACTAATTTTAAAAAATTGAATCATTTCCTCCCAATTATGTACACAGAGCTGATTAGCTCTTTTCATGCCTGAGCAATTCTCAGTGCCAGCGCGTGGAACAGCAGGCAGGGCTTGTGACACCCACAGGCCTTTCCCTGTGCGGGTTTTGCTTTTGCCCCCGAATGGAGGAGGTGGAGGGGGATTTGTGAGTCCAGACCCTGTGCAGGGTGTCAACTTGGGCCCAGGGTGAGCCACTCCAGGCATGTCTGCTCAGGCAGGGAGGGCTCTGAGGTCTGCCCTGCTGCAAGTTCCCGACGTTCACTCTGGGCCAGCTCCTGAGGGTACAACTGAGCCCTCGCTCTGCTGCACCCTGACCAGGGCCAAGTAGCCGCTGGGGCTGAAGGGGATGATCCACTGGCCACCAGGACCAGCTTCTCTGCAGACCCTCTGAAAGGAGACCCCACACATTTAGATAGCACAGATATATCTTGAAGCTCAAGTCAATTTTTCCCAAAAAGTAGTTTATGGTGAAGATATTCATGACCTTATTTGTTGGGATTTCAATTTAATTCCTCTACAGAAAGTAGGACTGGGGTTCCTAAGAAGGTGGTTTGTCTCCATGCTCTGCCATCAAACACCCTCATGGCCTTGGGCTGTATATAGACTGACCAATGCAGATTCCACCCTCTGCTTATATTTCCATCCCTGGGCTTCAGCACACCTGGGACATTAGCTGTGAGGTTCAGGGTGTGCAAGCCCAGCCCTGGGCCTCTCCTGAATGCAGCTGTGAAGGGAAGGGTGTGCAAGCCCAGCCCCGGGCCCTCTCCTGGACACAGCTGTGAGAGGGAAGGGTGTGCAAGCCCAGCCCCCGAGCCTCTCCTGGACATAGCTGTGACAGGAAAGGGTGTGTAATCCCAGCCCTGGGCCTCTCCTGGACATAGCTGTGACAGGAAAGAGTGTGCAAGCCCAGCCCCCGAGCCTCTCCTGGACTCAGCTGTGACAGGGAAGGGTGTGCAAGCCCAGCCCCAAGGCCTCTCATGGACACAGCTGTGAGAGGGAAGAGTGTGCAAGTCCAGCCCCGGGGCCTCTCCTGGACACAGCTGTGACAGGGAAGGGTGTGCAAGCCCAGCCCCGGGGCCTCTCCTGGACACAGCTGTGAGAGGGAAGAGTGTGCAAGTCCAGCCCTGGGGCCTCTCCTGGACACAGCTGTGACAGGTGCAGGGTCTGCAATCACAGCCCCTGGGCTTTGGCCACACCACCTCTCACCAGCAGAGCCATTCTGAGTCCACTGATACTTACCGTAATCTCCTGGAGCAGGCCTCTTCCCAACCTCAGGAGAGGCCCTGGGCACCCAGTTCTCTCTGGTTATGGCTCTTACACATGAAGTCATGGCCTTCCTCTGGTCCTGTCTTTTCCAGGACAGTCACTGGTCATTGCCTGGTATCCCGGGAGCCATGTCTTCCAGAAAGAAGAGGTAACATCATCAGTCTGCCGTCTGACCCAGTGTTTCAGGCCAGTCAGGCAAGGCTTGCCCGTCGTATATCTCCTGCCTAGTGTGCCATGCCAGCTGATGGGACATGGACCCATGTGCACAGAGCACGAGACTGTCCTGTGCTCACCCATAGGCCGGCCTTTCTCCAGCCAGCACCTGCCTCATCAGCATGTTGAGAGGTTAAATCAATTAAGTCTCTTTGCCTAATGCAGAGAATGATCTCAGTACGTGCCAGCTGTAATGGTCCCCTTGGTCATTTTCCCACCCTTCTTCTCATCCTTGGGATCACTCCCTAACACAGCCTCTCTGAGCAGACAGACAACCTTGTGTGCATTCAGAGTCTGGTTGGCCAGGCTCCATAAGTGTCTTCCTCCAAGTTCTGAAGTTAGGTCCATGTCTTTGTGATGCTCAGAGGGGGAGACCACTCTTGTCCACTGTGGCCCGGCTCAGGTTCTACTTTCATGATATCTAGCCACCAAGTCCTGTCCCAGAATATCCTGCCCCTCCCCACCCAGCCACATGTCACCAAGTCTACTCATCTATGAGCATGGAACAGAGGGAACGTCACTGAGCCCAGGGTCTTTCTGTTGCTATTTCTTAGAAACTATCCCACAAAACAACACAAACCTTCACTAATTGCTCTTAGCGGGTCTCATTGCATCGAAACATTCAAAGTCCCAGAAAAAAAAAAAAAAACTTAGCTTGGGGGTATATAGAATAAATAAAAGTTAAAATATCTATAGGAGCCAGATCCCCAGGGGAAGCTGAGCACAAGGGCCAGCACACTTGTGTAATGAACAATGTCCGGTTTTAGACATGTTCCTGCACTTTATGCTTCACACACATAGATATGATGACCAGTCAGAGCTGTCAAGTGACTCTTGAAATCTGTGAGCTCAAGTTGGAAGGCAAAGAAGCCAGGTGGGTAAGAAGCTGTGAGCCAGGTTAGAGAGAACAGTGCTGGTGGAAATGAGAAGCATTCACATCCGAAGACTCTACTTCTGCTGCGAAAAAGAGAAGAGGAGGGAGTGATTCATGGGAAAATGGTGTTTAAAATAGAAAATTAGAGCAAAGGGCATCAGAGTCAGGAGAGAGCAGACAGGTGGGAGCAGTGCCTGGTGGAATGTCTGTGACACTGAGGCTCAGGAAGGCCCGTGGGTCAGAGCCCCCAGCCACTGGGTCTCAGGAACACTGGCAGGTTCAGCACCCACGGCCAGGGGAAGCAGCTTGGGCTGAGGGGTTCAGATGTGCTCTGCTCCTCTGCTGCCTTGGTGTGATGTCATTTCACTGTAAACCGGTGCCTACACTGTGGCATGTGACCGGTGACTTTCAATTTGGGGATAATATCAGAAACTGCTTATTTTCTGTATTTATAGCTCACTGGAGATGGCAAGTCCTCCTGAGACTGTAGGGACCACGTGCACCTCCCTCCCAGCATGCTGGAGGATGACTTGCAGCTCCTTGTGGGGCGTCCATGACCCCACAGACTGAGGCTGAGACTCAGACATGGGAGGTTCTTTTAGTCATAACACCCAAAATTCACAATCCTCATTTAGTAACAATCTACTCAGCTATTTCTATGTATTTTTAAATGTTAACTAACAGAAGGAGATTTCATTTTATTTATATATGCATAGCAGATAGCAAAACTGTTAAATAAAAAGAAAAATAGACTGTATTTAGACGAACGGTGGCTAGAGAACTACCCTAGACCTGGAACCAGGAAAGACACTAATTCCCTGTCTGTCTCTGCTCCAGCCTCCTAACTTTCAGGGTGACCAGGGAACAACCTTGATATGTTTTCATTGGGATCTTCCTTTAGGGAGTAGGCACATTCCTTTGGAAACACGTTCTGGTTATTGGGTAGTCTCAATGTGAGCAATGCCAGTCTTTTGGAACAGTGTTACTTTCCAAGTTGGTTAAAATAAATACAGCCAACATTTGTGTTATGTAAGGTTAAGATTAATAATTAATCAGGCCATGCCCCACCACCCCCGAGTAGAAGGGAGTCCTTCCTGTAAGAAAAGCAGCTGGCCACTCAGTGGTTCATCAGGGCATTTCAACACAGCTCATGAGGGCCACACTCCAGGGATAGGGTGAGTGACCAAGGTCATACTAGAGTCACTCAGCAACATCTCAATTTTGATCAAAGCATTCTTTTTTCTAAAGGAAGAAAACAAAGATGGTGTTTATTTTAAAAATATTTAATGCAACAAGTTGCTTATACCCAAGGACTATTACAACTGTTTGAACTTTCATCAGAAACACCCGACTTATGGAACAGCGGGTGTTGCTTAGCTTGAGTGAGGTTTCTCCCGAGGCTGGATGGGTATCTTCTATTCCAAGCAAACCTTTTTTGTGCCTGCATGAGCCAGATTATTGCTTTCAAATGTGGTTGGTGACCATCACAAAGAAACACAAGGATCTTTGCAGACTGGAAGATTTTTGCATCTATTCCCAGCCACATGCTCACGTAATCCAAAATACCCAGTATTGACTTGATTAAGGAGGCGGAACAGAAGCAAAACAACTTCAAACAAAATCATCTGATGCAGGAGGCTCCAATGTGTTAGGCCTGATTCAGAAGCCTATAGTTGGGCTCTGAGCACCAGGCTCTGAGGAGCAGCACACGAGTCAGACGCCCCAGATGTTCCTGGCTATGCCCCATTCATGGGAGACCACACTCGCAGGGCGCTTTAAATAACGATGGCGTCACTGCGGAACTAGCTTGAAGAAAATAGCAAGTGGAAATTTTAAAAAACTGTGCAATAGTTGTGTTTTGAATTTTGGAGAAATTTTATGGGATAACTAGAAATTTCACTATGTTCATCATATAGGCAAATGCTCGAATTCAAGCATAGTCTTTAACAGACCTTTAAAGGCAAAACTTGCATTTGTTAATGTCTCCTGCTATTTCTTGTCTCAGGATTTCCTAGTTCTTTCTGTAGAGATCCTTCACTTACTTTATTAGTTATATTCTCAGGTATTTCATTTTCTTTGAAGCTGTGAAGGGACTTTACCTAACAAACCAAACAATGTAACCTAATAATATGCGCCTTGACATTACTCCAAACTCTTTTAAAAGGGAGAAGAAGGGAAATAAAGAATGATAGTTTCAGTGCCAGTGAGATAATTAGTTAAACGTTTTTTCCTACTTAAGACCAAAAAATAAAGGTTGAAAACTAAATTACCACTTTATTTTTAATCTCTTAAATTTCTTAAAAGTTTTCTGGAATTTATCAATAATTAATATGTAATGAAAAAAATTCAAGTTTTGTAAAACCAAATTTGAGCAAGACAGTGGAGTATTCAAAGAAGACAGAGACAGGCTGGGGTTTGGTTGATATCCCCTAAACTATGGCCTGTCTGAGGATTCACATTCAGTCTCTAAGTAAGGAAACTTCATTCAACAAACATACAAGGCAGAATGAAAGTTTATATTTCTTGCAGAGATTGAGTTGTGTCCACTGACTTTAAGTTAATACTTTTAACCCAAGTTGGAAATAAATTATTTCTGGAAATTTGCCAACACCTGCTCTACTGTGTTCAACCTCTCACTGTCAAGAGGCAACACTCTGCTGTGAGTTCTCAGGTGAGGAACACCACTGCTGAGACATGGTGTGTGTGACCTGCATCTGCCCCCGCCTGGCCATGTGGCCTGTCATTCTCCAGCATCAGGAGAAGCCACCACACAGAGCAGGGACAGACCAGAAGACCACATGCAGGGGAGCTCCAGGAGGCACCTGCCCGCCATCGCCCACAGACTGGAGCACCCAAGTGACCCATGTGTCACACTCTTGTTTAGGAGGAGTGGTGGGGAGATGAGATCACAGTGCTGTGTTGCTCACTGAATTTCTCATGACAGTCCTTGAGGGGACGTCACTGAAAAGGCAAACCTTTTAGTGAACGTTGCATACACTGAAGGCAGACCTTCACATGGGAGCCGGAGTCTCTAGCAGCAGCTATGGGGCTGTGCCCTGCCTGCTCTGGTGCACGAGCTCACTGAAGTTCCCCTAGGCAGTTACCCTTTGGGCAGCCAGGGCTTACACAGGTGCTTAACATGTAATCTGTGCTTATTAAATTCGTATTAGATTAAATGCCCTTTGTTGTTATCAAGCCATTTTATATATTTAAACATTTTCTAAATAAGTATCTAGATCTTATAAAACAAAATATCATTACTTTCTTAGAAAGTGCTTGTTTTTGCTTCTTTGTGATCGTCTGCAAGGGCCATGACCTGCATTTGGATGGGATGGTCTGGCTGTGGGGAGGGAGAAGGGGCTGCTCAGAGGAGGAGGGCTTTGCTCAGGCCCTGGCATTACCTTTTATTTTCAGACTCAGAAATTGGATCCATGTATTTAGAAATGCTTCCACATGTTTAGCAATACAGAGATTGACTAATGTTTGGGAGAACAACCTAAAACATAATACTATATCTGAAGATAATTAAGATCTTGAGAATATTGCAAATATTTAGAAAATTACAATGTCTATACAAATAATTTTTTATTACAGAGCACAAATTCAATGATGGACCACATTATTTAAAATGTATCTTTCAAAACTTTGGAAGTAGATGGAATAATAGCAATAAATACTGTCAGTGTGTATTCCTAAATGTCTGTGGTAGCTGTGCTGCCTGTCCCAGCCCACACAGCACACCTGTTTCTGGCCCACACACCCTAGTAGAAATATGAGCATTGAGGTCACAAGGCAGACTCCCAGCCCCAGACCTGGAGGGACAGACAGGCAGGGTTGGAAGACGCAGCTCACTGCACCAGATGCCACCAGACAAGCATCATAGAGACACTGAGAATGTGATGGGTTCCTGAACTGCATGGACAGACTCAGTTCAGGGGCTTCACTGGGCTTATTGAACCTCCAGGGGGACAGGGTGCTGTGGCCAAGAAAGGCACACTGGTTTCCTTGGGGCCCTGAGGGAACCATTTTCACCAGAGTCTCACTTAGTGAGGC